CGGTTTGGAGAATTTTAAAGAAGAACAAGTTCCATCCATATAAATTGCAATACGTTCAAGAATTGCAAAACGGAGATGAGGAGCGTCGTATACATTTCTGTGAAAGAATGATGGCACTAATAGATGTCCGGCCCATCTTCCCTTATCAAATTGTTTTCACAGACGAGGCAACTTTTACCTTAACGGGAGAAGTTAATAATCAAAATTTTCGTTTCTGGTCAGATGAGAATCCGAATTGGGTGCGGGAAACTCACACACAACATCCACAAAAAATAAATGTATGGTGCGGAATAATAGATGGCTATTTAATAGGGCCGTTTTTTTTTGAAGAATATTTGAACGCTCAAAGGTATGAGAGATTACTTGTTGATCAAATAATTCCAGCCATACAGAATACTTTTCCAAATAATTTCCAAGAAATATGGTTTCAGCATGATGGAGCTCCTGCTCATTTTGGTGCAGGACCACGTCGTATTTTAAATGAGACTTTTCCGCTACGGTGGATAGGAAGAAGGAACGGAAATGAGGGAGGAGAGGATTGGCCACCTCGGTCACCAGATCTAACTCCTCTTGATTATTATCTATGGGGATATCTGAAGAGTAAGGTTTACAGAACAAAACCTAAAACCATTCACGAATTGATACAGCGAATAAGGGATGAAATGGCTTTGATACCTTTTGAAACGAATCGTAAAGTCATTTCTACATTCTACCAAAGATTAGCATATTGTCAGGAAGTAAATGGCAGCCACTTTCAGCATTTACTTTAACACATTGAAAGACATTTGCAATCGTTTGGTGCAACCTAACCTGATCTCTGTATACACGCACCGCACGCACGCACACGCACACATTTCGAACAATTATTATGATAAATGAGCATCCACAAATTTATTTACTGTTTACTATGTCGATTGCTTTCCAGGTCTTTAAATGCTCGATTGTAATTTGGTTGGGTCTTTGCTTTTGCTGACTGGATCCACGACCGATCTTGCCTTAGTTAGCTGGATCACACACACAACAGATGCAAATCCGAGCGAGTAACCTCCATGTAGTACACCTTGGATAATGTTAATACCGGCGCTACTCTATCATTCAACCCTCATAACTCGCAAAGTACTTAATAAAAATGAACATTATTATAGTGTTTTGGAAAGCTCTTGAATTAAGCTATAAGAATATGCAATCAAATGTAGGGGGTGTCATTTAAAAAAGTCAATGTGACCTTGACCTGACCTTGACGACGCCATCCAAGGTCAAACTGATAGAATCAGTATATAGATCTTCTTAAACCCTACAACTTTTGTTGGAAACACTTTTCTGTAAAACGTATATTTTCCGAGATATTTAGGGGTTTCCACACTTTTGGTAGACCCTGTATATATATATACAGGGTGGCCCATTTTAATTTCCTCAGCCAAATATTTCGGAAAATAATGAAAAATCAAAAAAATGTTTCAGACAAAAGTTATATGGTTTCTAGAGGGACATAAGATGGTACCATTGGTTTGACCTTGAAGAGTTATTTGAAGGTCACATGAAGGTCACCTTCAATTTCTTAAATGGAACCTACATTTTCTCATTACATATTCTTGTAGCTTATCTCGAGAGCTTTCCAAAACACTATAATAAAATATTTTTTTATTGAGTACTTTTCGAGTTATGAGGCTTGAAATCATTTCTTAATTTAACATAAACCGTAATATATCTAGTAAAATATTCATTTTTCGATTATCTTGCTTTAATACTTTTATGTACAAAATAATGAGAGAAATCAATTGGTGTAAAAAAAAAACACAGTTGTTTTTAAGAAAAAATATGTAATTGTTAATTGCAAATTACATATTTTTTCTTCGGAACAATTATGTGTTTTTTTTAGATCAATTGATTCCTCTCATTATTTTGTACATAAAAGTATTAAGGTAAGATAATCGAGAAATAAATATTTTACTAGATATTTTATAGTTTATGTAAAATTAAGATATTATTTTAAACCTTATAAATCGAAAAGTATTCAATGAAAAAATACTTTATTATAGTGTTTTGGAAATCTCTCGACATAAGCTATAAGAATATGCAATAAAAAATAGGTGATTCCATTTAAGAAATTAAAGGTGTCCTTGACCTGACCTTAACGATGCCATCCAAGGTCAAACCAATGACACCATCTTATGTTCCCCTCAAAACCATACAATTTTTGTCGAAAACGGTTTTCTCTAAAATGCTTAGTTTTTGAAAGAAAAGGGGTGTACGGGTGGTCTAGAATACTCTGTATAGAAGGTGTCCCATTTTAATCGATGGATCCAAATTTTTCCTAAACTACGCCAGCTACAAAAAAATGTTTCAGACAAAAGTTGTATGGCTTAAAGGGGGACATAAGGTGGTGTCATTGGTTTGACATTGAAGAGTCACCTAAAGGTTACGTGAAGATCACATCTAACTTTTTAAATGGGACACCCTATATGCTTTTACATATTCTTATAGTTCATCTCGAGAGCTTTCCAAAACACTATAATTAAGTTAGTTTTCATTAAGTAGTTTTCGAGTTATGAGGCTTGAAATAATTTCTTAATTTTACATGAATCATAAAATATCTAGTAAAATATTCATTTTTTGTTTAACTTATCTTAATACTTTTGTGTACAAAATAATAAGAGGAATCAATTGGGGTGTAAAGAAAACATATAACTGTTCCGAGGAAAAAAATATGTAATTTGCAATTAACAATTCCATGCAACAACTATCTGTTTTCTTTACACCAATTGATTCCTCTCATTATTTTGTACATAAAAGTATCAAGGTAAGATAATCGAAAAATGAATGGTTTACTAGATATTTTATAGTTTATGTAAAATTAAGAAATTATTTCAAGCCTTATAACTCAAAAAGTACTTAATAAAAAGGTACTTAATTATAGTGTTTTGGAAAGCTCTCGAGATAAGCTACAAGAATATGCAATAAAAAGTAGGCAGTTCTATTTAAAAAATTCAATTTGACTTTTATATGATCTTCGTCCTCCACTCAAAGTAAAATTTTTAGTCATCATTAGGTACATTTTTTTAAGCCCTACAACTTTGCTATTTACAATTTTTCGCTATAGTTGATCCTTTTCGAGATATTTGACCGTTTCCGGACAACCCTGTATACAGGGTGCTTCCGCAACATACAGATCGGTAAGTCGGGTTGCCTATCTGACGATCGGTCTTCTTTTACCGATCTCGCATAATTGAAAAATAATAAAATCAGAGGATCGATCATGTAGTTGTTTTATGTTAATATTAAGAATTTTTTTTTATTTGAGGGGTTTGTATTTATATTATTTAGAGTTGAGAATTATATATGAGTGGTTATTTTTTAATTTAAATTCATTAAATATAGAGATAATAGTGTTATTAGATTGGGTTATATGTTTATTTATTAAGGTACGTACTGACGTGAGCATTTTTGCGCGCACGAACGATTTGCGCGCACGAATGCTCGCGTCTGGACGTGTCGATTTTGTTTTGACGCACATTGTTAGCACGCACGAATGCGATCCGTCGCTTGTCGGTACATCAAATGATTTTCGTGCGAAGCGATGCTCAGTTTGGACGTGTACGTGGAACGAAAGAGTCGTGCGGGAAAAATGAAGTGGACAAACGAAAAAGCTCTAAAATTAATAGATGAGTATGAGAAAGTACCAGAGTTGTGGGATGCTAAACATCCGCTTCATTTTAACCGCAATAAAAAATTAGATGCGTGGGAAATAATTGCCAATAATATGAAAATGGACGTAGCTGCATTAAAACAAAAAATTGGTAGTCTACTAGGATCCTTTCGCAGAGAAAAAGCGAAGGGTAAAAAAAGTATTGGAACAGGAAAAGGTATTCATATATATTTTTGTTATTTCTAAATAATTTCTATACATATATCGTAAATTGTAAATTATAAATTATTTTTTCCAGCTCGTAAAGATATATATATTTCAAAATGGTTTGCTTTTGAAAGAATGCATTTTTTATTGGATAAGGATGAACCCCGCACAACAATGGATACAGATAATGTAAGTAATTAATATTTAAGTAATTAAATTAAATTAAGCATCGTCTTGCCAATCTAAACGTCCATTTGTAATAAAATATTCTTTAAATTCATCTCGAATTTCTTTGGCGTTTAATGTCGATCTTCGTGGGACGTTTCTAATTGGTATTAACGAATTTATTTGTTCGTTTCCTTGTCTCCAGCTACCTCCTACTAATACACCATTCTGTTCTGAATCGAATCTCGTTGAAGGGGTGTATATATCGCGTGATGTTTTGCTCTTTCTTAAAAAATTATGGAGACAAATTATCGTCATTACAATAAGCTCCGCTTTTTCCGGCTTCAATAATATTGGTTTTCGTAATACTCGGAACACTGCTGAACAAATTCCAAATACATTTTCAACTACCCTGCGTGCTCTGCTGAGTCGATAGTTGAATATTCTTTCCGTCGATCCTTTATGATGTGTTCCTGAGAATGGCTTCATTAAATTTTCGCTCAAAGCAAATGCCTCATCTCCGAGAAATACATATGGTATTTTCTTGCTTCTCCCTTGTAAATTCGATTCTTCTGGTAAGCTTAAACTATTTGTTGTGAGTTTCTTCCATAATTTGCAATTTTTTAAAACTCCTCCGTCAGAAATTCTACCTTGACATCCCACATCCGCGAATATAAAATTGTAATCAGCGTCAACAACCGCAAATAATACAATACTAAAATCTGATTTATAATTAAAAAATTCGCTTCCACTGTTCATTGGAGCTTGCAACACTACGTGTTTTCCATCCATTGCTCCTATGCAATTCGGAAAATTCCACATTTTTTCGAATTCCCGTGAAATTGTTAACCATTCTTCTTGGGTTGATGGCATCTAAATAAAATATAATTATTTAGAATTATTAATTACGATAAGGCTCGAATGATAAATTATTAAATACGAAAAATTTAAATAATATATAAAAATTTTTATATATTTTTAGGAGAATAACGAAGAGCAAGAAAGTGACGAGTTCCCATTAAATTTAAATTCTCAAGAAGATCTATCGAATTCAGGCGATCAAGAGATAGATGATGAGCCCTCAAATGACTCAACAATAGAAAAAATGCCGTTTATTGCTCCAGAAACGAAACAAAAGAAAAGAAAACTGCACGATAAAAAGGATGACGCGAAATTGGAAGAAGCATTTAAAATTCTTAAAGAATCGGCTGCAAGGAAAGAAATACCACCTGATGATTGTACCATATATTCGCAACATGTAGCCAATAAACTTAGAAATTATTTCAAGAATACTCGGATACAAGTTGAACATTCTATAAACAATATTTTATTCGCAGCTGATATGGGAAAATACGACTATCCTAATCCTACTTTTAATTATGAAAATGTTCCAGCTTCAAATTATCGTTCTACACATTTTTATGATAATGAAATTTTAACATTTAGTCCACTACCGTCTCCAACATTTTCTAATGCAAGTACCGCAGGTTCAATTTCTAGCTGCCCTACACCTATACCGGATTTTAATATACAAAACAAAAATTTTGAACAATTATGATTTTTAAAAATTATCTTTCCATTATTGCTTACTACTTAATTTTAATTACTTAGCTCTTAATTACTTTAATCAAATTTATGTGTATTCTAAAATTATTATTAAAATATGTATTATATATGTTTTAATCTTTAAAAGTTAAATAAATGTCAACATTCTTACCTTTACGTTTTCTTTCAAGACTTCAATAAGCGCTCCACAAACTTCAGGAACAATTACAGATATCAACTGTTTTGACACTTTAAACAAATATTGTAGACTTGTATACGAATCTCCCATTGCTAAAAAACGTAGAGTTATAGCTAATCTTTCAGTAACGGTGACTGCTTTTCGCATTGCAGTATCCATTTTCTGTATTTTTGGAGCAATAGCATTCAATAAAAATTTAAAATCTTCAGATGACATCCGAATAAAGTTACGAAATTGTCCGCTGCTCTCTTGAAACTTTAAATTAGCTAGCAGGCTATGAGCACCACTTATTTTCCTGCTATTATATAGCTGTGTAATCCACCATCGCTTAGGCCGCCTTTTTACACCACGCTTGCGCAAAATATGTAATATAATATATGCTGCAGCTGATGTGGTGATGTCTCTTGACGACATTTCGCTACTGACTCTGACGAACGACTGGAGCACAGTTTTGCGCGCACGAACAAATATCGTTCACATCGATAAAAGTTTCCACGCACAAGCATTCGTGCGCGCAAATCGTTCGTGCGCGCAAAAATGCTCACGTCAGTACGTACCTTTAGAGTAGTTTTATTAATTTCTTCTATAATTATATTATATAGAATAGTTTATATAGGAGATGATAAAAATATTAATCGTTTTATTATATTATTAAGTTTATTTATTTTTTCTATGATTTTAATAATTATAAGACCTAATTTGATTAGAATTTTGTTTGGGTGGGATGGCTTAGGATTAAGATCGTATTGTTTAGTGATTTATTATCAAAATTATGTTTCATTTAATTCTGGGATAGTTACAGTCTTATGTAATCGGTTAGGGAATGTTGGTTTATTAATATCAATTAGATTAGTATTTATCTATGGTAGATGAGGCATAAATTTTTTATTGAATTATAAGGGTAGGTTAGTCATATGTTTAATTTTGCTAGCTGGATTGACTAAAAGGGTTCAAATGCCTTTTTCTATATGATTACCTATGGCTATAGCTGCCCCTACCCTTGTGTCTGCTTTAGTTCATTCATCTACATTGGTTACAGCGGGGGTTTATTTATTGTTCCGATTTAATAGATTTTTGATTATGTTTGAAATTAGGAAATTTTTATTATTATATGTTTCAGTTTTTACAATATTTATGGCAGGTTTAATAGCTAATTTTGAGATAGATTTAAAGAAGATTATTGCTTTATCAACATTAAGTCAATTAGGTTTGATAATAATAACTTTAAGATTAGGAATGAAATTTTTATCCTTTTATCATCTTCTTACTCATGCGGTATTTAAGTCTTTATTGTTTATATGTGCAGGAATTATAATTCATTTTATAGATAATAATCAAGATATTCGATTTTATGGAAAATTAAATGAATTTGTTCCCTTTTACAATAATAAGGTTTTATATTTCAAGATTAGCTTTAATAGGATTTCCTTTTTTAGCAGAATTTTATTCAAAGGATTTAATTATGGAGATAATTTATATAATAAAATTAAATTTATTTATTTTAAGTTTTATTATCTTATCAATTATGTTTACTGTTTCTTATTCTTTACGATTAATATATTATGTTTTCTTTAGGGAATTTAAATGGATTAGATTATATAATATTAGGGAAAATATGTTAATAAATGTATCAATAGTTATTTTTTATTATTAAGAATTTTTGGCGGGTCTATATTTTTTTGAGTTTGTTTTTTTGATAGTTATTTTATTTTTATTCATTTGAAAATTAAATTAATGACATTGGGTTTTATAATTATAGGGTTTTATTAATAGGAATAGTTTATATGAAGAATTTAATTCAAATTTATATTTTAACATTTTATTTTAAGTCTATATGAATATTAAATTTTATATATTTATGAATTTATAAGCCTTTTATTGAATTGGGGTAAAGAGAGCTAAGATAGATATAGAGTGAGTTGAATTTATTGAAAGGATTTAGTTTTAAAGTTATAGAAAATTTTAAGTTGAATAAAAATTATTTTAGAATATATATATTTATATTTATTATTAGGATTAGGATATTATTTATTTTTTTTTAGTGTAATTATCTAAGTAGCTTATAGGTTTAAAGTTTAATATTGAAGATTTTAAGAAAAATTATTTTTTTTAGATAGAGACGAGATATTATTGGAAATTAAGTGTTGATGAGTTAATTTTAAGATTAAAATAAAGTTATAAATTAAAATTAGAGGAATATTTAGTAAATTTATAAATATGAAAATATTGTTTTTATAATAAAATATAATATTTTAGGTAAACTATATAAATTTTAAAGTTTTGAGATAATATGATTTATAGATATCAAAAAGGTTTGAATTAGAAGTTCAAAATAAGTTATCTCTCTTTAAAAGTTTAGTAAGTGTATGGAGAGGGAAATTAATTAAAAATTAATTGGATTCTATTATCTCATTAAAATTATTAACAACAGTTTACCTCTAAATTTTGGTTTTAATTAAGATATTTTTAGATTTTTTAGGTCATTTTTTAAGTCGAAATTAAATGTAATAAGATTTATACTATAAAAAAAAGATTTATATAATAAAATATAATTTTTAAGAGCAATTTAAATGTTATTAGATTAACTAAAATTCTATAAATATTTATTTTTGTTTGTAATTATTATTTTAAATCTTTCAGTCAATAGATTTTTCTAAATATTCAATAATTAACCCAAAGATTAAAATAATTAAAAATAAGAATGATAGGAGTATGTATATATTGTATAAATGATAGGGTTAAGAAGACTAGGGGGATTAGGAGAGTAATTTCAACGTCGAAGATTAAAAAAATTAGTCTAATTAGAAAGAATTGGATTCTAAATGGTATACGAGACTTGGAAATAGGGTCGAACCCACATTCAAATGGAAATATTTTTTCACGGTTTTTTTTAAGTTTAATAGAAATGAGGGGTTTATTAAAAATTATTAAAAATAGAGCAATAAGAAGGAATATAATTATCATTATTATTATTGTAAAAATTATTTATATTAAAATTAATTAGATTAAATTAAATCGAAAGGAATTAGGCTGGTTATATATTCAATAACATGATAAGAAAACTAGCGTCTACGAGCTACAGAGGATGGTAAATGCCTGAAAAATTCTTTTTAATTGTACGCGAAATTTTAAACGAAAAACACGGCATATGCATATATTTTACTTGGTGCATTTAACCAAGATATAGATTCTCATTTTTGAGAAATTCTATACAACCCTCTTTACCCCCCTGAAGAGACGTAGACGAGAAAAATATCGGGGCGAAGTCGCTGAATCGGGAATCGAACCCGAGTCTTTCGCTTGCCGGGCGACTGCTCTTACCACTGAAATGAGAATCTATATCTTGGTTAAATGCACCAAGTAAAATATATGCATATGCCGTGTTTTTCATTTAAAATTTCGCGTACAATTAAAAAGAATTTTTCAGGCATTTACCATCCTCTGTGGCTCATAGACGCTAGTTTTCTTATCATGTTATTGAATATATAACGAGCCTAATTCCTTTCGATTTAATTTAATTCACGCGCTAGCTGAAATGATCGCGTTTCATTGTCCATAGTTATAAACAAATAGACGAGGGTAGTATCGGTGTGGGGCTGAATAGCTCAGTGGTAAGAGCAGTCGCCCGGCAAGCGAAAGACTCGGGTTCGATTCCCGATTCAGCGACTTCGCCCCGATATTTTTCTCGTCTACGTCTCTTCAGGGGGGTAAAGAGGGTTGTATAGAATTTCTCAAAAATGAGAATCTATATCTTGGTTAAATGCACCAAGTAAAATATATGCATATGCCGTGTTTTTCGTTTAAAATTTCGCGTACAATTAAAAAGAATTTTTCAGGCATTTACCATCCTCTGTGGCTCGTAGACGCTAGTTTTCTTATCATGTTATTAATTAGATTAAATTTTTAATTGGAAGTTAAATGTAATTTTATTATACTATATAAATTTTTAGTTTAATTTAATATCTTCATCAATAGATTGAAATATAAAGAAATAATCATACAATGTCTACAAAATGTCAGTATCAAGCAGCGGCTTCAAATCCAAAGTGGTGGGTACTTCTATAGTGCAGGTTGTATAAGCGAAATAAAGAGATTAGTAAGAAGGTTGTTCCGATAATAACATGAATTCCATGAAAGCCAGTAGCAATAAAGAATGATGATCCATAAATAGAATCAGAGATAGTAAAAGGTGATTCTTTATATTCAATTAATTGAAGGGTTGAGAAGTAGATTCCTAGGCCGATTGTTAGCAGTAATCTTTTGGTTCTTTCGGGAAAGTTTTTGTTTAAAATTGAGTGATGAGTTCATGTAATGGTCATACCTGATGAGATTAAGATATTGGTATTAAGTAATGGGATATCAAAGGAATTAAATGGTTTAATTCCTAGAGGAGGTCATAATTGTCCAATTTCTATGGAAGGTGCTAGAGATGAATGAAAGTAAGCTCAAAAAAATGAAATAAAAAAAAATTTCAGAGATAATAAATAAAATTATTCCTATTCGTAGGCCCAAGTAGACTGAGTGAGTATGAGCTCCTTGATAAGTGGATTCTCGGATAACATCTCGCCATCATTGAAATATACATAAGATTGTACAAGGGAGGGAAATTATAATTAAATAGTTTATTTTATGGAATCATATAATTATTGAAACTAGATTATTAAATAAACTTAGTGAGATAATAAAAGGCCATGGTCTAATGGAAACTAAATGAAACATATGGTTCTGATTATTAATTTTTGTCATATTTTTTAAAGTATGTAAATAAATAATAGTAGAGTATAAAATATAAATAATAGAATTATAGATATAAATAGTATAAATGATAAGAATATTATGAATAGAGTTTATGGATAAAATAATTAATTTAAGTGAAATAAACAATAAATAATATTATATGTGTATATTATTTGTATTATTAATATTATACTGAGTAGTAAAAGTAATATGGCGATAGTTTTAATTAGATAATAAAATAAAGCTTTAGGTAAAATTTAAATTATTAAATTTCTCTGCAATACAATGTAGATAAAATAGAAAATACATAGGCTTGAATGAGTCTAACTGAAATTTCTAAGATAAATAGTAAAATTTGAATGATTAATATGATAGTTAATACGAAAAAGTTATTGATTAATAAGCCAGATGATCCTAATAAGATTAAAAGTAAATGTCCGGCAATTATATTTACTGTTAGGCGAATAGATAAAGTAATTGGCCGGATAATTAATCTAATTGATTCAATTAATACTATAAAAGGTATTAAAATGAATGGTGTTCCTTGAGGAGTTAAGTGCGAAAAGAAATCATTAAAAAAGAATAAAATATTAAAAAGAATTATTGAGATTCATAGTGATAAAGATAGAGATAAAGAGAATCTTAAATGTCTTGATGCCGTAAAAATATATGGAAATAATCCTATAGTATTATTGATAAGAATAAATGTAAAAAGCCTAATAAAAATAATGAGGTTAGGTAAAGAGTGTTTTAAGATAATTTTGAACTCTTTAATTAAAAATTTAAAGATAAATTTAAAGATATTTCATATTATGATAAATCGAGAGGGGATTAATCAATATTGAAATGGAAAGATTAGAATAATTAATCTTATACTAATTCAATTTATTGAAAATTTTATTCTTGTAGATGAATCAAAAATTGAAAATAAATTTATTATCATATTCAGTTTCATTTGCTTAAATTAGTAGTTTTATTATTAGTTTTAATTTTTTTAATATTAGGTAGGTAAAAAAAGTAAATTATAGTTGATAATATTAGTAAGAATAGGAATGAAAAACAAAAAATTATCATTCATAACATAGGTATTATATGAGGAATAAAAGAATATTTTTTATTTTTTATGAGATTGAAAAATATTATTAAATTGACAATTTAATGTTTTTTTTAAACTAATTCTTTATTAAAATAAAAATACGGTTAGGTTTAAAAGGCCATTAAAAATAGAGTAAATATTCTATTATATTTGATTTAAAAGATCAAAATTTATAATTAGTCATTTAATGTTTTTATGAGATAAATTGATTAAAGATTAAAGAGTTTAATTAAGTATTATAGTAATTTAAAATGTTGTAAGAAAAATAAAAGAGTGATGGTAGGTTTATGGTATAATAGGTAGGGGCAGTAATTTTAATTTTCTCTCATTTTGAATAATCAATTTTTGAAATTATAAAAATTAGTGGATTCAATACAAATTGGCATGAAAGAGTGATTTATACCACAAATTTCTGAACATTGGCCAAAAAATAGTCCTGGTCGATTTATAAATAATATAGATTGGTTTAGCCGACCGGGGGTTGAGTCTATTTTAATTCCTAAGGAGGGAACAGTTCAAGAATGAATTACGTCAATCGAGGTGGTAAGAATTCGAATGGGAAAGTTAAATGGTAAAATACATCGATTGTCAGTGTCTAGTAATCGAAATTCATTTAGTTTTAGATCGTTAGAGGGAATTATGTAAGAATCAAATTCAATATCAATAAAATCAGAAAGTTCATATCTTCAGTATCATTGATGGCCGATACATTTGATTGTTATTTTATTAAGGTGATTTTCTTCAGTAATATACAGAATTTTTAGAGATGGGATGGCGATAAATATTAAGATGATTATAGGTGAAATAGTTCAAA